CGTTACACCTGATCCTGTGTCGTGATTGGTTTAAAATCACGTGACCGCGGACATTTTATGCGGTTGCTATGTATAATGAATAACCATTCGTAAGTCTCGTTCTCTACCACAATTCTCGCAAGTCACTAAGGTGAATGGCAATATCTGATTCCATAATCGTTTCAGAATCCGAGTCTTAATAAGCCAAGTCGAAGTCACTCGAAGGGGTTTATTAAAGTTCCAAGTCGAATTCAGATACAAGGAATATTCAGATAGGTATATATATTATAATTAAGCAGAAACGAAACAATTATTAAAGGACTGAATAGTATTCTTTTTTAATCATAAACTAGAACAGTAAAATTCTCTTCACCGTTTGAAACTCTAGGTCCTCAAATACATTTTGAACCTTGGACACTTTGATGTGCCAACTGCCGTGTTTACGTGCCCACTGGCACGTTTACTTGCCAACCTCTAGGTCATTTTCTCATGATTATGCAAGGGTATCATTATAATGGGCTCAAACGGCCACGTCTACGTGCCCACCGGCATGTTGGCATGCCTTGAGTAACATTCATATAATTAAGCCACCAAGCCAATCCATCATTACTATTTTAGTATAAGTTATGAAATATTCAAAGAAAATTAATAAATCTACTAAAATTGGACATTGCTACCAAAATGATTGGGGAATTACTAATAAACTATGTATTATCCATGCGGCAAAGTTACCAACTAAATAGAAGTTTAGAATAAAAAAATAAACTAAAATTTTAACTCGTTACATTATTGTAAACATTTAGAAAATACCATTGTTGTATGCTACACAGCAAGTAACTTTTTATCTGGTAGCAAATTTAATACAGAAAATCACGTGAATGAAAATCTAATCAGATGCCTAGAATTCGCAACGCCAATTAACTTGCTATTAAACCATACTCTTTGAACTTCGTACTATGTTTCTGGTAAATATCCAATTACACCACTTTCATGAATAACTCTACTAATAATGTAATTGAAGTTTTAATGAAAAAATAAAACTATTAAAAGTTGTTACCAATGATTTTTATTATTAGATGACTAGATTAACAGATTATATCCACCAGATATTTTATTTGTGCTATGGTGCAGGAAGTCTATACTTAACAGTTACACAAAGTGTTTCAATTTTTTAAATGGTTATAACTTTTTATCTAAGAGGTTTTAAAAAATCTAACTGGTAACTTTATAAAGCTATATTAGCACTACATATATATCAAATATCTTTTCAATATCTCATCACCGTAATGCATTTTGAAAATTGAAATTTTATATATAAAATTTCAATTTTCGAAATGCTTCAACTCATTATAGTGATAAGATTTTGAAAAGATATTTGGCATATATGTAGTGCTGATATAGCTCTATAAAGTTACTGGTCAGATTTTTTTAAAACCTCTTAGATAAAAAGTTATAGCCATTTAAAAAATTGAAACACTTTGTATAACTGTTGAGTATAGACTTCCTGCATCATAGAATCTTTTATTATACTGTTATTATACATAGTATCTGCATTCTATTATTAGATCTCTTTCTGGAAATTACTCTTTTCTGAATTCATATTTGTACATAAACTTTTCACAGAACTTCATATCCAATTATGGCCTCATTAATTACAGAAACAAATTCAAAAATTTGTCTCCAGCCTGACTTGAATTATTGACCTTGTCTGTGGGGTTTGGAAGCTTAACTAATAAGCTATAAGACCCAAACCCTATTAAAAAATTTTAACTTATTATACAAAATATATAAAAACAAAAAAAAAACTTATTCAACTTAAATATAAGGATATAATCTAGTAAAATATAATCCAAGTTTAATTAAAATATTTTTAAATTTGCACAATTAGATAGCAAAATTTTGCTGATATATCATATAGCCAAATAATAATCTGGCTAAATTATAAATTTATTTAACCCAGATATTAGAGTTAGATCTAGCCAATTTTCAATTAGGCTGTTCTAATTAGGGTTGAAAACTTACTGTAATTTTAAATAATTTTATATAAATTTGAATAAATTTCAGAAATCAAAATTACATATAATTTTGATTATATGATTAATTTGGGCTAAAATATTTGTAAAACTAACATAAAATTAATATAAAATTAAAGTTCTGAACACAATGATGAATATCTATTAATTCAGCAAAACTTTTGTAATACTAGTGCAATAATCATATAACAATACACTATATATTGTAAAGTTACATTTCAATTTTGTGAATTACAATATAATTTATATAAAATGTAACAAAGTAATTTATGTAATACATCCCTAGTCCCAATTAACAATCAGAACTAAAATTGTCATTTTTCAGTTGGTAATTTATATCATCCCTTAAACTGTTTAAAATTCAATACAAATTAGGCCTGAATTTTATTTATAAAAATACTTCTGATTTATTTTTTTAAAAATTTAACATAGTTAAAAAATTTTTTAACCTGTATATCGTAACTTGTATCGACCAATCAAAAACGTTAAAATACACAACTTCTTTCTTAAATTTCTCACAGTCATAATAATTCGGTATTTATGTCATAATTGCATATTATAGCCTAATAATTCAGTAATTATGTCATAATTGCATATTATAGCCTAATAATTCAGTAATTATGTCATATTATAGCCTAATAATTCAGTAATTGCATAGCGATAGCGATGACCCAATTTATCGTATGCAATTATAACATAATTACCGAATTATTCTGCATAACTTGTAACGACCAATCAAAACCGTGAAAATACACAACTTTTCTTAAATCATTTAGATCAAAAACGTTAAAATACAGACCCAAAATTCCCACAGTTTTTGGATATGGCCAATCAAAAACATTAAAGCCAAAACTCCCACAGTTTTTGGATATGGCCAATCAAAAACGTTAAAGCACACAGACCCAAAATTAAAGTATATATATATATAAAAATATATACTGTATAGATGTAATTTTTATTGGGCCTTTGTCCGACATCTCTAGTTATAATTTAGCATTTTATAAATTAGGATTAGGGATCTGCAACCCGGCATGTGCCCGTGCCTAACAAAAAATTTTAAGGCACGGGCATGGGCACGGGCATGGGCACTTTTTTGTTTGGCATAAAAATGCCTGGCATTTTTTTGCCTATAGGTACTTTGTGCCTGGCACTTTTGTGCCTGATTTCGTTTTTTTTGGCTTAAAAGTACTAGAACGTAGCCAGGCCTAAAGTGCCAGGCACATTATACAAGTTCCGGGCACTTTCTTAGGCATGGCACTAAAATGCCTCTGGCACTTTTTTAGGCTGGCACTTTTGTGCCTATGGCACGGGCATGCCATAGGCATTAGTGCCCGGCATGGTGCCTAATGTGCCTGGCATGGGCACATGCAGAACTCTAATTAGGATATATTGTGCTAAAGGCGCAATGAGTAAATCCAAAGTTATACGTATAATAGAGCTGTGTAAAATTGATCCTCTTTAGGACTGTACACGAAAAAAGTCGATTTAATATATATACAAAGTCCTTCATTTCACTTCGGACAGTTGTTTAGTTAGTTAATTCACCTTTTTCTAATTGTTTTCCATGGAAACCAAAAAATGTTGGGTCACTCTTTTGACTATGAAATCTTACTTGCCAGGTGTTGTTTGTCTCGCCAAATCACTCATGCGTGTAAAAACTAAATAACCACTTCTTGTTTTAGTACCAGACCTCGAGAAAGAAGAAACAAATCTTAATTGCAATGATTATGATGAGCTAATTCAACTAGGTTCTAACTATGATTTTCGTTTCCTTGAAATAAAAGAGATTACTCGTATCAATTTGAAGACGAGTCGATATGCGTGGGATTATTTTAAAGAAGCGCCGACTAAACTTCGTGCCTGGGAAGTTGAAGGTTATGATATTGTAGGTCTTTTAGATGCTGATATGTGTGTTATACGAAACATGGACGAACTTTTAGAATTAGATCTAGATGATAATAAAATCGCAGCATGTCATCAATGCATTTGTAATTCGCATAAACAAACATCCTTTATTTCCTAAAGACTGGTATGTGATGTTTTTTTAAATATATACTTCATGGAGGAATTTTATTCAATGAAAATAAATTTATAGGATTCCGGACAATTGTGTATACACAAAAGGTCTAATTTATCCAGAATCCACCAGCATGGCACCAATTACTAATTCTGAAAGTGATTTTAATGCTGGATTAATTATTTTACGTCCTTCTAAACTAAAATTCAATGAAATATATAACTATATTGAAAATCACGAAGATCCCGATAAATTTTTGTTTGCGGAACAGTATATTCTTAATGAAATCTTTAAGGGAAACTGGATAGGGTTACCTTATATTTATAACGCGTTGAAAACCTTGAGGAAGTGTCATCCATTGATGTGGTCGGATAAAGATGTGAAGAATGTTCATTACGTAGTCGATAAACCATGGAAAGAAGATATCGAGAAGATGAGGGCAATGAATTTAGATGAAAGGGGAGATTTTTGGATTTTATACAATTGGTGGTGGAGGGTCTATAGAGATGAATGTTGGGAAGAGGATGATTTTAAAGGTAAGGCACACCATGATCTCGAATTCTGATTCAAATTTACAGTATTAATCAGTCGTTTTATTGCTGTATATCATTTAGATGTTATTTAAAATTGCAAATTCAAGTTCTTAAATTCATATTAAGTTTATTTGGATCAAGTTAAATATATGGGTTATTAGTTTGAACAAGAAGCGAAATTATTAAAAGTGCTTTAAGATATATAATGTAAATTGTGATCAATTTGTATTAGTAATGTGATTGATGATGCGAATGATTCGTCAATAGTTTCGTCTGTCAAAACTACTGACGATTTATGAAACTCCTGACGAAATTTATTGCCCAATAAGTATAGAAGTAAATTTGATCCTTCTTTGACGAGCTTTTTATAATGACCTCTGGATATTCTGAAATTTAAATTTTTTCAAGTTGCTGTTATCTATAGTGATCAAGTATAATGTCTGAAAATTTTCAGGGCAATGATTTATTGCGCTTTTCAAATTACTGCGATCAGTGATATTCATATTTCACACATCACGGGAAATTCTAATATTAAATATTTTTAAAAGTTTAATTGAAGATTTCTCAACAATAACCCAGTTAATTTCAATGTAGAAGACTATTTTCGAATCCTACTAGTCTGTAGAATTTGAAAATAGCTTCGAATATCGAAAACAACCCGCTATTAACAAAATAAACTCACTTGAAGTTTGAGAAAATTTAGGTAAAAAAATTAAAAAATTTTAGTGTTTTCTGATCTGAGCATCACAAGATATAGTACACTAATGGATAATGCACCAGAGAATTGGAATTTAACAAGGATTCTGGCTTGTTGAATGGGAATTTTTAAAAAATTGATATTAAGGGAACTTTTGTGTGATGGACAATCATCTGACGATTACAGTAATTTGAAAAGCGCAGTAATTAGTGGATCTGCAAGTTGCAAAATAATATGATCTATATGTTTTATGAAAAAACCCGAACTTTTCTTCAAATTAATTTATATATAAAAAAAAACACTTTTTATTATCTCAAACTTTAATATGAGTTATTTTTTTTAGCTCCTGCACTAAAAACCTTTGAAGTAACTTTTTTTAAAAATTGTATTTTATTATGAAATTATGGGCTGCACGTGAACAAAGAAGTCACTGTACAGCCTTTTGTCATGAGGGTTATTGCTCGAAAGCTATTTAGCCGACAGGTCACTTACTTGACATCACATTAGGTTAGGGATAGCATTTGATTAGCTGCAGGTATATATTTTTAGCAATTTGTCACTTATGTGATGTCATGTAAGTGGCCTGTCAGGTAAATAACTTTCAGGATAATTATCATGAGACCCGATCTGTATATTTATACATAACATTATAAAATAAAATAGTGTAATATTGATAAGAACTGAATAAAAGGATAATATTGAGGAGAATAAATGTCACAGCTGATGCTGAATTTGGCTGATGTTGAATATCACATGATAATTCGGGCCAGAAATTGCAGATCACATGTCAATCAGGAAAAAATCAAAGTTCTTTAAGTTTGTTTGTGTTAGGATTATCATCTATAGTTTAAAAGGTTATACAGTAAAATTGCTTAAGAAAAACTTTTTATTAGTACACAAAGTGTTGTTTCTTAGTTTTTATGAAGATTTTTGAAAAATTAGCTATTTTTTACAAGGAGTATTTGTTTTAAATTTTTATGATTGACATATGATCTGCAATTTCTGCCCTGAATTTTTACATGATATTTAGCATTAGCTAAATTTAGCATCAGCCATGACAATAAATATATAATATTCATTAAATCTTATAAATTTGTAAAAATACAAAAGCATACGTATAACATTTTCTGATATCTATTTTAAATACTAAGAACATAGTGATGAAATCATGTAGTATATAATTATATGACGATCAAAATTGATGTTACTCTGCAAAATTTTTGTTCTGATTGGTCTGCGTAATCCTGATTATCACGTAGTATTTATTTTTTACGTATCAAGCATCACATCATATGAAATTCTGATTCTGAAGATCTAATTTCTATTTCTATATTATTAATTTTTTTTATAATTCAGCAATCCTGTCTCTATTTATTTGAGATTAAGCTATTCAAGAATTATACATTTCTATCTTTCAAGACCTATATATTTCTATCTGTAGCTATTGCTAATCTAACCGAAATAGAGACTCATCCTTAACTTTTTATCATTCAGGTGCGACCTGCCTCAGTAGATCTTGGCCTCCCTCCGGATCCTTAACTCACTAAGGATTTATTCTCTTTGGTCACTGGCTGGCATCTACCCGCCATATCAAGACTGCCAACTTTCTCTTCTAAATTTTTCCTTCTTCTCAAG